GTGATGGGTCTCGTAACATTATTTTTGTCAGAGCTGTGAATGGAGAGGATATTTCAAATCAATAACATCACAAATCAAATGTGTTGGACTAGTCAAAACTAAAACATTTAGCTAAGAAATCAGAATGAGGCTACAAGCAAACACGAGCTAAATCACAACCATCCTTAAGAGGTGTTACCTTGAATACAGCTCAACAAGCTTCTGATAGACGTTAGGTAGCTCCACTTGGAAGTCCCACTGATCCGTCTTCACATAAAGATTTGCCAAGCCCTAAAAAACATAGTTCATAATTACTGCACCTGGGGAGCATCAAATACAATAAAAACAACAACAAAAAATGATCTCAATGTGAGAGAAGCAACGTGTTGTGTTGGATTTTACCAAGTTAAGCCTATAGCTGTAGACACTACATGGTCCACCCTTACCTGCCATGCCAGCAGCTGCTCAGGCTCCAGCTCCACAGCTTTCTTATAAGCGGTCTGTGACTGATCTGGTTGATCGAGTTCACTAGCTGCCAAGCCGATGAACACCCAGGCGTTATAATTGCTCTTCTCAAGTTTCAAAACAGCCTAAATAAGAGAAATAGAAGTAATTTATACAACATCTCTGTGAGAGATACATTGCCTCAAGACTATCTGTGTCATCACTCCTTGGAACATGTTAATATCAACAACAACAGCTCATTATACTTCATTTAATCAGTAGTGTGTATCTCAGATACTTTACCTTGCAGTGCTTTAGAGCCTCTTTGAATTCTTTGTTTTTTATGGCGTCTCTGGCACTTTTTAGTGCTGCTTTCACTTCTTTACTAGACATCTTGTCAATATCTAAACGAAGCAAAGAGGGACATATCAAAAACAAAAATGGTCACATCCCAAACATACAAGGCATAGGTATATGAACTTAAAACATACATGTTAAGAGCTAATTAACGCTAACTATTTGGCTTAATAAAAGAGTACTGAGCAGGTGTATCCGACAAAGTAGAAATAGCTATTTAAACAGTAAATAATGTGAACAGAGTTTATATTAGCATTGTTTGCTAGCTAAATGTAGCATCAGCTGTAAGCTTGTCATAGCCTCTAAACTATTTAACTTTAGTACTATAGAATATGACACAGTTTTAACCCTTCCTTAATATATAAAAGGTTATTTAATTGTTTTGTCAAGCTTTTAGCCACGAAACTATTGCTATTGTGAATACATATTGGGGAACCCACTGTTTACGTTGAAAACTTCCTCTGTTCCTGCAGTTGGCTGACACGGAAGTGAAACAGAATTGGCCACGCCTCCTTTGGATTTTCTAAATAAAATGACGTGCAGCAGTTTGGTCCACACTTAATACATCCATGGGTCAAAACAAAAGTGAACAAAATATTCATTTATTTCGGATAAGGAAATAGCTAAATACTGGGAGGAATTCATTAAACTTTATGTGATTGACATGTTATGTTTGGTCCCATTGAAAGTCATTGCAAATTATCAGAGATGTTACATAAGTAAAGGTCCAGATTTAGTGGTAGATTAGGAAATTAAATACGTCCTGGATGATCCGTAATTATAGCATTTACAGTATAAATATAAGAGCAACATATAAACCCATTGGTGGCTCTCACTGTAAAAAATTGTGAGAGGCCAAGTTTAATCAAAGCTTGAGTCCAGCTCATTCAAAACCAAGACACATCCTAAAGTGAACCATAATTTCAACAAAGCAAAATATCACAAAGAGCCATCGAGCCACTTGTCAATAGCTCTTTCATAGGCAAACGCATCTTTTTGCCAATCCACATGCCACCTCAGGTTAGCAATGACCTGGCTGTAGTTTGTCCCCACACTATGGCGCCAGGCACCAAATGCTATTCTATTGTAGAGATGGACATGTTTGGAGACTTCTGGATAGTTCACAATGCCCCGCAATAGCTTGTCCAAATGTGCCTGCACATCGGGGAATGTTAGAACAACATTATGAAGTTCTTCCTTGTCCAGTGTTACGTCTGCAAAACAAAGAGGATACAGGACACATGGTTTAATGATTGTTCCATTGTTCTTGAAAGCAAATGAGGATTAAGTGATTTTAGGTTTAGTTTCTGAGGTTTACCGAAAAGCTGTGGGGGGACAGTCAGGCCGTCTGCGTAGGCAATATATTTCCACCTGCCACTTCTCAGCATGTATGTCGAGGCATTGACATTACAGCCGTGATATTCACTCAGAACCCAGTCTGGATGTTGCTTCTTGGAAAACACTCTGGCCTTTGATTTCAGAGGAAGGAGCGAGTGGCCACTGAGATTACCTACTGCTGCAACACCAGCAATGTCTGCAAAAACATAAGTGTGATTTATTAAGTTTAAATACTAAAATCAAAGTATAATCAGGCTTTTATTCTTTTGCTTTTACAGATAGTAGGCAGACAGTTTAGACATTTTACTCCTATGTTTTCTGTCTACTTCCTTACCCAGCACAGTGGGATAGAGATCTACCAAGGACACTAGCTGGTTGACCTGCAGGCCAGACATCAGCCCAGGTCCCATGATCATCAGGGGAACGTGGGAACTGCCCTCAAACATCGACATCTTGTAGAACTGCCGGTGCTCCATGGCCATCTCTCCATGGTCAGCCGTGAAGATCACCACAGTGTTGTTGAGCAGGCCAGTCTCTCTCAGAGCTGAAATCACCTGACCTGGTGGGGTGAGGAAGCGTGGACAAAATGGCAGATAACTCAATATCAATATCTCTTACATATCATTGTGCATTTATTTATTCATGGGAGTTTTACTGAGAGTAATTAAAGTTAAAGTGGCCATATGTTCTTACATGCTGCAGCGAAGAAAAATAAATACTGTTTAAAATATTCTGAATAATTTACATTTTATAGATTTCGATTTAAAGTTACGCTAGACCTTGTTTTATAGCTGGCTTTGATGGAAACACTGTCACTCTCTAACACTACTTCACTTTACTACTTTTGGTATTTTGTCCACGTTGAGATCCAGTAAGAATAAGACTGCTCTTGCAGGTTTGGGGCTGCCCCATTAGTTATCTTTGCAACAGAGTTTGGTTTGAATTTAAGTGATCTATTACAGCGTGCAAAAGACTATGCCTTAAGTTAGATACGAAAACCCACCACCTTTACTTAAAGAGTCTGTCCCCTGGTGAATTACTTCTGTTAACTAACCCAGCATGGCATCAGCTTCAGCACACATGGCATAATAGAAGGCTCTTATGCTTTTGATTTCCTCCACAGTGAAAACACCGCTGCAGTTTTTGGTGAAGGTGGAGTAGAAGTCGACGGGGTGCATGGCATCAACAGGAAGCCATTTAGGAACAGTGATGAGCTCTGAAGACACCTGTGTGGAAGAACAATTGTTTATGGTGATTTATATAAAAAACATACACTATTGTTTTGCAATAATGAGGATTTTTTTTGTTTAAAGAAACAGGGAATGAAAATGCCTTTTTCAGCCAGTAGGGTGAAGTGAGGAAAGTGGATCCTCCTGCAGTGGGTCCCAGGGATTCCGTTTTATAGGGGTGAGGTAAATTGAGGCCGAGATAAAGAGCGAAGGGCTGGTGTGAGGACGCAGCTCTCTGGTGGATCCACTGCGCAGCCTTGTCTGTGTTTTCCCAGTCTTTTCTCATGATCCTCACTGTGGACGTGTTCCCAACAAGCTGAGTAACAGGCCGGCCCTCTTGGCGCAGGAGGAACTGAACATCCCGTGTCCAGGCCTCAACTCGATTACTGCAGAAATTACACAATTACACAAGAAGATGCAGGTCTAGACACAAAAAAAGGAAATGGAAAGACGAAAGAAGCATCCAAGAAGATGATTCACACTGTTCTGAAGAATAGGTGCTCACATACACAGTATTACTAATTCACTCAAGCAGTGAGTCTCTAACACTTCTTCTGTGTCTATGGGCTTGTATGTTTTATTATTGATAACTTTGGACACTATTTGTAGATCGGACTATTATGGTGTATTCTGTGTATTCCATATATTATGTATTCTATAGCTAATACTGTCGATGTGTATTTATTTACTTTTTGTTTTATTTTATTATATTTTCAACTCATGTATAATGCCTGTTAACATGATGTAGTGACAACAACAATTTGGGATCAATAAAGTATATAGAATTTAATCTAATCTATTAATAAGTGCAAGTTTTCTTATCCGACACATCTCATACAACTATACAGTGTACTATACAGTTGCTCTGCCTACCTGACCGAATGACTCCCTGAGGTGTAGTCCAGCTTTCCCATCGACTTGGTCACATATCCATTCTCCTCCAGCAAGTCCATCCATGTTGTGGCATTAGCATCGAGGCATTTGTAGTTGTTCCAAGACTGAGTGAGGTGAACAAACTGACCGCTCCACATCGCTGGAGAACACATATGATAAAAGGTGAAATACATTCATGATTCCAACCTTATTAAATGACTATGATATGTTTGTCCCCAGTGTATTTGAGTACCTTACCTGCTCTTGAGGGGCAGCAGATGGGGGAGTTGGTGTAAGCATTGAGGAATGTGGTACCGAGCTCCCTGAGGTAGTTTACATACGGCAGCTTCACCACTTTGCTGCCAGGGTCAAAGGTCAATCGCCCATCCTGCAATAAGAGGAAACATTGAGGCATAGAAAAAGGACTAAATGTAGGGAAAAAGCCTCTCTATATGGTGTTTAATCTTGAACTATAAGACTGTCCTCTCATAGAGATTTAGCATAAAACAGATTAATTAAAGGCTACTGTGTTTGTGGCAGTTACTAGACATTATTAAAGCACTGTTGTCTGACTTAATTCATACTTACAAATGCATCACTCATCACCATCACAATGTTGGGCCTGGTTCCATTTCGGCAAAAACTTTGACCATAGATTTGAAACAGGAATATCAAAGACAACACTTCTTTGTTCATGCTTCACCTGCTCCAAAACTGCTAGTTTGCTATCGTTAAAGAAGAGATGTGTCTGGAGTTGATGATGTATAAAAGTGTTCCTCTTTGACAGCAAACGGGAACTTTTCAGGTCTGGGGGACTTGATATAAACTTCCCGGTTACGCTTTCAAAATAAGAGCTTTTTTTCCACATTTAAAATGAACACTGAACATGAACACGTGTAATGATACATTTTAAACTCTAGAGGGCGACATTCATCTGTTTATCAAAGCCTCTGTGCTACACAATATTGTTGAGCTGGCACTACTGACGCATTACAGTGTCACAGATGTACAGTATGTCAATGTGTTTATGAGAAAGGAAACCCCATATATAATTAGCCAATAAAGAAATCAAATAGAATCACGTGACTTCTATTGCATTTTTTTACAATTATAAGAGAATTGCATTAAATAATATTTACAATAATTAGATTTTTTTTTAATTGGGTTTTAATTAACCGCCATCCAATTTCTAATGCCATATATCTTGCAACCATTGACCTCTACAAAATATATAATGCACCGAATTCCTTTCATTTGAATTTGATTTGAATTGATGATGTAATATGACACCTTGTAAAGATATCCCAATGAAAGGGTTGTTGTTCTGCATGAGTTAAACGAGTTGTTAACATTGATGTTCAACAGGTGATGCTGCAGCTCATGGTAAAAAGCGTCGATGGCCACCAGAGGGCTCCTTGAGCTCCATAGTTGTTTTTGTACAAACTGTGACTTCCACACAATGAGAAATCCCAACCCCCCATATGTGCATGGATCATTTTAATCTTATAACAAAAACAATGTATCTAAAAGACCAATATATAGTTGTTTTTTTGCAGATGTGTGCTCCCAAATTTAAATCCTAGTGCTACATAGAATAATCCAGCAATTGTACATGGTGTGTCTTTACTGCAGGCCCCATGCAAGATGCAGCTCTGTTGTTTTCTGTTTGGTAGAGGCTGTAGTGTGTCTGGACATATGAGACCATATGTGTGGGTTATTTCAGAGCTGAATTTGTAGGGATTTAAAAGTCTAGACATCAGGCTGGAAAATGTAGATTTCTGAGGTGATACACCATGTTCTGAATGTTATCACATCATCATAATAAAGAGTGGAAATGTTGTTTGAATAGATCTCTGAATGAAAATATTGAAAACAAGTGGGTTGACACTTTTTGGGGGTATGTGTTCATGTATTTTTAATATACCAAATGAACTGTAAATAATAAACTATTAATCTGACGTAGTGAACATTTCTTTGTGCAGTCTTTCAGCTGTTTGACCAAACTTGTCATCTGGCCCAAAGCCGTGTTCCAGAAGGCGGAAGGAGGGGGCAGTGGAGCCCTGCGCATGCGCGGAAGGTTGTTTTTCACACAGCCTCTCGCTTAAAGCGAGCTGAGCTACTGGGGTTTCCTTGTCTTTGACTGGAGACCATCGAGCAGAGAGGAGGATGATAGCAGCATCCCTTTGCTGTTATTCAGCCATCACACATCTCAATGACCTGCCCGCACATAAACCACTGATCGTGCCTTTTGCTTTTTGCAGGGCAGAGATACTGATCAGTGTCTAAAAGACTGCATCCCTTTTTTATATGAAATTATTTTTTCATATACTCCTTTTTTTTATTTCAAGGTCTCTGTAGCCTGACTCTTTCCACCATGGTGCTAGGAAAGGTAAAGAGCTTCAGAGTAAGCTACGACTGTCTGAATGACAGCAACGTCCCCGTGTTCTCCAGCGGGGACTGCGTCTCAGGGAGGGTGATCATCGAAGTCACCGGAGAAATCCGAGTCAAATCTCTCAAAATCCACGCCAAAGGATTTGCCAAAGTTCGTTGGACTGAATCTAGAAATGCTGGATCCAACACTGCCTACACGCAAAACTACACAGAAGAAGTGGAATATCTAAATCACAAAGATATCTTAATTGGGCACGAGAGAGGTAAGAGAGTTTTATTATTTTTTTATATAAGTTTTATATTGATGCTCTTTGTGCTGGAGGATGCTGTTTGTCCTGAATGTCAGTAACAAAGCTCATTTTATATAGCCTACTGGAATAATTGTGTATAAATGATAACCTCTTTTTTAATACGTTTGCGTAAAGAGTTTTGTGACTTTGGGTCCATGGAGCTCCATCGTTACTTGTTTGTGTTAAGGTGTCAGAATGAATGACAGCAGCTTGGGGCATCTGTTTTTTTCAGAGTATTTCAATCATAAAGCGAGAATTAGGCGTATTCGAGACACAGGACGATAGATACATATATTGCAGTGATGTATGTGCAGCTTTGTTAAGCGTTTTCAGTGCAGAAACGCATCATATTTGGTGTTTCTTTGTAGCTTTTCTTAAGTTTCCACCCATTGTTCAAAGCGGTTCAATCCTGTTCAGAAAACTGGACCGGGAGGGGGCGGAGCTAAGACGCAAACCCCCTCCCTCACCCGTGTGTGATTGGCTGAGGTGCTCATGTGTGGCCAATGACATCACTTTTTTGCAGCGAGTGACAGAAAATTCTGCAACTTTTTAATTAAGGAGCACCTGCAAAATGGAAAGGCTCGATCGAAGCACCTGTAGTTTGTTTCATATGATATGAAACCCTGGAAATCTCTCCGTTGTTTTGCATTGAATTTGTTTCCTTTGCACCTATAGGCCTATGTTTAATTGGAAAGTAATAAGATTGTAGGCCGGGCTTTATTGTCAGCTGGTTTGTGCTTCAGACATATTGTCGTCACTTTATCCGCACGGTGGTTGACGTTTTTTGATAGTAAAATGCATACTTTTAAAACGCTTGTAAGTGCATGTGTGCCCTTTTTTATAATGGTTTGGGTTTAGCCCATCTGCAAAAAAATTTGTTTGCATTGACATAGTTCCTATACTGTAGAGCATAACATAAATGGTTGATCATAATTTGGTTCATTCTCAGGATTTTGCTGCAGTGTTCATAGTATAAGCGGTTTATATATTGAGGTGTGTTTCTTTGGCGTTAGGAAGAAATAGTTCCTCTGCAGCAGCCTTTTTTTGTGTGTGGAGCATGAGAGGTTTGTCTGGCTGTCACACCGATAGAATTTTAGTAATTTTAAGGCAAATTATTAATTAATATTCGAGCTGAGGTTTAATAAGGAGATACATGCAAATTAGTGCAATGCCACGCCATTCGCCAATAATGCTCTCCGACCGAATACATTTCGACAAAACGCTGTCTATAAAACATTTCCTATGATGATAAAGTGGATAACACGGTGAAATACTGCGGTAGTCGGTGTGGTGAACCGGCTGGTTGTGGATTAGTAGTGGCTGCGGTGTCGCACAGTGAATGCGTAATGAGCGCAGCGGCTGTGGAGCTGCTCGCACTGGTTTAGGCCGGTCTCCTCCTGCTGGAGTCTGCCTTTTGACTGACAGCTCTGCACTTGTTTACCACACTGCTGCTGCTGGGGGAGGGACTGCTGAGCTGGCAGAAACACACCCGGCCTGTCGAACCAGCTCTTGATGTTTTCAGTTTAAACATTTTTTACAATATATATATTTTTTAAAGCTTTTATAAGGTGCGAAAAAAGGTCACCTCCTCCCTCTGGATGGAAACGATTCTTTCTTGTTTTTCAGAGATACATGAAAAACGAATTGGTTATTTGGATACATTAATCCATCGATAGGGATTTAATTGATGCCCCATATAGCCCAGATTCCCCATAATAGCCTCTCTATTCCCATCACATATTACACAATGGACTCAGGGACGAGTCGTTCTTTGTTCATGCAAAAGCACACTCTTGCAAGCTCAGTTTCTGGCACCTTAAACATTCTTTGGTGTGCTCTTAATATTAAACTCAACTCTATATACATATTTTTTTCAGAGCGATATGATAGTAAAATCCGTTATTCTCTTTTGTCTCCCCCACCCTGTGTTTTTGGTATGACTTTCAGATGCCTTCGTAGAGCATTTTGCCCAGGTATGGTATACATGTGTTTGGAATATTGTCCTCCTTGTTTTTCAGACGATGACAACTCGGAGGAAGGACTCACCACTATCCTTTCAGGAAGACATGAGTATGCATTCAGCTTCGAGCTTCCACAGACGTGAGTGTCTTAATACTACCCCTGAGTCACGGAATATCAACATCATTATTCAGCTGTAGTAGTATAAGCTTTTGACTGTTAATGTAACCCTTTCGCTTCTTTTTCTTTCATGTAGACCTCTGGCTACCTCTTTCGAAGGGAAGCATGGCAGTGTGCGCTATTGGGTAAAAGCAGAACTCCACAGGCCATGGCTCCTACCCATGAAGACCAAGAAGGAATTCACAGTCTTTGAGCACATTGACATCAACACTCCATTATTGCTGGTAAGTTGTCTTGAAACAACCTTAAGATTTAAAAGTGTGTTTTTAATTTTGTCCTTGTCCCTGGGGAATCTGAATTCAGTGAGGCTCAGTCTAACATAATCTTTTCAAATGTTGACTGATTGCCGAATGAATAGCACGAAACAGAATAGTTGGTTCAGTATAATAACCTTTTATCCAAGTTTGATTGGGAATATAGGAAATATCCAGATTTTTGCTAATGCACCGGTTTTCTTTTCTCTTCAGTCACCACAGGCCGGCACGAAAGACAAGACTCTTTGCTGTTGGTTCTGCACCTCAGGTCCTATTTCCCTAAGTGCCAAAATTGAAAGGAAGGGATACACCCCAGGTAAGAATAAGTAAAAGATTTATAATGCAACTGATAAGCCTTTGAGTCATCTATTAACCAGATTCGTTGTTGCTGCATTGATCTGACTAGATAGAAAGATGACGTCTTCCATTGATAGAAAAACATCAATTGACCTCTAGTCTACCATCTCTATTCCTCTAGGAGAGTCGATCCAGATCTTTGCAGAGATTGAGAACTGCTCCTCCCGCATGGTGGTGCCAAAGGCAGCCATTTACCAGTCCCAGACCTTCTATGCCAAAGGGAAGATAAAGGAGGTGAAGCAGCTGGTGGCCAACCTGCGGGGAGAGTCTCTGTCCTCGGGCAAAACGGAGACCTGGAACGGCAAAATGCTGAAGATCCCACCTGTGTCCCCCTCCATCCTGGACTGCAGCATCATCAGAGTGGAGTACTCCCTCATGGT